TATATAATCACACTCTTTTATAATCACCAATTTTCTTGATACAAACTGCATGATTATAGAGGAGGAAGACTGTATATGGTTTTCATTTGCAAATGATAAAACATATTTATATGCTTACATATCAGTATACAGTATATTTATATACATATATTATTTGCACTTTAATAATATATATTAAAAAAAGTATTAATAACCTGATATCAAAACAAGAAAATAAAAGATTTTTTTCTTTTTTTTGTTTTTTTTTGTTTTTTTTTATTTTTTTTTTGTTTTTTTTTCTTTTACTTTTAGTTGTGTTTACTTTACTCATTTTCCTCACTTTCCTCCTCCAGAACTTCTATTTTTTTTGGTTTTAATATATGTTGTAGAAAGATTTCGGTATTTGCAAGAGCCTCTATAATTTTAATATCATCAGTGTTAGGATCTTGATAGTTAACATCAGATGCGCTGATATTGGACTCTTGATGACTAGAAACTTTAGAAGTTTCTTCTTCCGATATTAAAGAAGAATTCCTATAGGGTTCTAAACCAGAAAAAGTATATATAAATACTAAATAAAATTACTTTATATAGCTGGTATCTATTACTATTTTCTAATATATATTAACAATTTTCTTCTGCTTTCCTTTATCAATTTCAGCTTCTTCTTTGTTAACTTCCATTTGCTTTTCTTTATCAACTTCGGCTTCTTCTTTGCCAACTTCCTTCTGCTTTCCTTTATCAATTTTGGCTCCTTCTTTGCCAACTTTCTTCTGCTTTCCTTTATCAACTTCAGCCCTTTCTTCGCCAACTTCCTTTTGTATTTCTTTATCAATTTCTGCTTCTTCTTCGCCAACTTCTTTTTGCTTTTTTTTATCACATTCTGCTCCTTCTTCACCAACTTCCTTTTGCTTTTCTTTATTTGTTTTTTTAATAATTTTATTAAATGTTGCAAAGTTTGTTAGTTGGACAAGTGCTTTTTGTCAAATTCAAATTTAATATTTTAATATGATCTTTAGTTGGATTACATTTAGGAATGACAACGGCTGGCTATTTTCGGCTTAGCCAGTCTGCTAAGCTAAAAATAGCCAGCCATTGTCATCTCTAATTACATCTAATTTCTTGATAGTTATTGCATTGACAGATCATTTATCTAATATTATATAAGGTGATAATTTACTAATAATATATGGTAGGTAAATGGCTTGTCAGTGAAATGACTATCAGAAAGATGAGAAACAATGCTATATCTGTAGAAAAAGTAGTTCTAATTGGAACTCTTTTTGTTTGAGATCACTTCGGGAAGTTACTGGGCCCAGCAATAGGCTCATATTCTTCATCCAGCTCATCAGGATTTTCTTTATTGGGGGGGTCATCAGGATTATCGGGGTTATCATTATTGCTATCGACGCTGTCTGTATTGGTATCAATATTGGTAGATTGGGATATGAGCCAGGCCGATGCATCAGAAGGTGGTGATGAAGTTCTATCTAATAAACCCGGAGCATTTCTCCAGCGATATCTTGTGCATTTTTTTTTTACAGATGAAAATTCTTCGGCCGACCACAAAATATCTTTCAACTGGATGTAAATTGAAAAAAAATTACTATTAAAAAAAAGAAAATAATAATAAT